TCCAGAACGTGCTTGCATGTTGATTTTTGGCCATAAATACTTTCTGTAGCTCTAAAATTGTAATTCCAGAGCTGCTCCTGTCAGCAAGCCTAACCAAACAGTGACAGATTTCCAAATTTGAAGTCGTCACAATATCAGAGAAGCAAAAGAAACAACAGATTAAAATGGATGGGACTTGTAAAATGACATCTACATGGGATTAAAAGTTAATTGAGTTTTGAGGAAAAACCAATACAGTTGAGACAAGGAAAGTGGGAGAAACTATTGTTACTCTTTCTTAACTATTGGTTTATTTCAAATACCACTGAGCAGCTGAGTTAACCAGATGCTGCTGTGGTTTCCTGACTTGCAGAACAAACGTGCCAGTATTTACATGCATCTCTGATACAAGAGATTTCTGGGTTGGCTTTTGGGTTCCTCATTGTCAAGATGTGACATCTGTGTTTGGATCTGAACTCTTCTCATGATCTCATAAACTGAGGAAAGAGAGGTCCTCCTGGCATTCTTGTCGCTTTCCATTTTGCTGCCATTAAAACAACATCATCTGTCGTTTAGAGGATTTGAACTTGAACAGCCAAGTGCCTGATTGCCATGAGCACGGAGCACAGACACTCTTTGAGGTGATGGATCGGTGTCTCCAACTGAATACTTGTGGTTAGAGGCTTTTACTGAGGGCCACCCTTCTTTTCATGCAGTGTCATTGGCAGTAAGGGATATTGTGATTGCATGAGGCTCTTGTGAAATGGGGTTGTTGAAATAGGTATCAAAGGAGGTTTCTATGGATGTGAAAAATACAGTCATTGGAGGAGTAAGCTCTCACAGCACAGCCCTGAGCATTCACAGAACTGAACAGGACCTGCTGCAAACCAGGGCAGCTGTCGCTTGGTCATCTCAGCTGTTTTGCCGATGGCAGTGGAGCTCATGATCTGTGCTTCCCTACAGAGCCGCGTTTCTTCTATCCTAAACATCTTCCTCCGCTTTCTGTGCCGGCAGTACCTGTAAGTCACCCCTGGTGCCTGCCACAGCGGTTATGACTACTGGCTGAAAGAGACTTGAAACACAGGGCTGGTTCCAGTGTGGCAGAGGAGATCTTGAGGAATTCCTCTTCTCAGGAAGTTTAGGTGTTTATTGTGCCTTTTCCTCTGGAACAAGGGTTTTTTCTCCTCCTATGTTATGTCCTGCTCTGAACACCCCAGTAGGTGATCATGAGACAGTGGCCATGACCAGCACGTCATGTTAAGTGTCTGCACCCTGAAGTCCTTTTCCCTAATCCCTCTGTCAGCTCAGGTTAAAAAAAAAAAAAATCTCTTTAGAAGTTTTTCGATGTGCTGTCTGTGTCTTCCCAGACTGTAATATCTGCTGTGATCAGTGGTAATTGTTGCATGCATGCTGATTTATCAGCACATTGCTGTGAAGAAGAAAAGATCTTACTGGGTGTTTTTTTCAACAGAAATAATTTGATAATTATCTTTTATTCAGACTTATTTTAAAAAAAAAAAAAATTCAAAAAAAATTTATTGTTTTTACACGTGTTCCAGTTTTTCCACACTTAGTTGAAATTTGTCAACAAATTCTAAGTTATTTCTGAAAAATCATAGCATAAATTTTAAGTCTTGCTTTCCTACAAAAATCAAGTGGAAATGATGAAAAATCCCTGCAAAGACAGGATTCAAAGCAATTCCCATAAGCACATGTTTGTGCAGTATCTAAGTGCTAATCTAATAGGTGGATCTGGATTAAAACCTACATAAAGCAGGAAAAGTTGATAACCGGATCACTTTCCTCTGTTTGAGGCAGGGTGGAAACCTTGATTCATCAGCTCTGGTTTCCTCTCGTCCCCTGCAGTCTGTAGGGCTGTCCTCTGCAACTGGTGTCTTTTTAGCTGCGTGTGTCTAAGAAGGCCCAGGATCACATCCCTGAGCGAGATCCATCGCTCCTGTAACTCCTTAAACATCCCTTTTCTGCAGCGCCAGCACGACCGAGATAATGTTTTTGCATGGTCTAATTTGATGGCCCCTCCTTGTCTTTGGGTTAAGGGTAAATTCAAGATTCTGCTGATATGTTTTTATTACGCATTTCATCCTAAGATCAACAAGACCAATCTGTCTTCTGGGTTCGGGTATCTTGGTGCTTCAAGCTTGATACCGGGTGCTGGCAGCAGCGCAGTGCTGCACGTGTCACGATTCGAGGTTTATCTTCATAGATGAGGCAATATCACCGACTGTGTGTGCTCTTGGGGGTTAGATTCAGGCTTAGGCTGTTTTGTGGCAGAACCCAAGGTTGCATGAACAGGCAGTCTTTCTACTAAGAGAGCAGATAATACAGCGTGGAGGAGTACGCAGCTTCAGTTTGGTCCCCAGACTCCGCAGCAGAGATTGATGAAAGGAAAGGCACCACAGGAAGTGTTTGATTTAGCACTTCCACTGGGAAACTGGTGCCCGGAAGGAGCCACCAGTACCTTGTTTCCTCCCTGCTGTTTTCCCACAACTTCCCAAAGAGCGGTAACAGAGCAAACACTGCAGCCTTGCCGGGCCACAGCTTTTCCCACAGGCACGAGAGGGAATTAAGAAGTTATGTTCTGCTTTTGATCGTGTGCGTAATATTGGGTCGTTATTCAGACATGGTCGTGGTACAGCTAAGCAAAGATACTTCCAAGCGATGAAACAGAGCGTAACTGCAGGGTGGTTTGCAAGTCTTGCTCCAATAGCTTGGCAAACAGCGCAGTTCAGGGAAGCAGGGTGGTGATGAATGCAGTAAAAGAAAATCATCTTTTTCTATCCGAGGTGCTGGGTGTATATACTTGGGAGAGGGCTATTTCTGTTGTTATTGATTGCAATGGATGTTGGAGCAGCATGAGGAGCACCAGCAGCGGTGGTGGGACACACAAGGAGAGATACCCATGGACAAGTAGAGGCCTGACTGACCAGGTCTCCCAGCACCTGACCCCAGACCCACTGGCTGGACAGAGCCAGCCCTGACACCATGGAAGATTTAAACAGGTGGAAACAGCCAGCCTACCTGATTGCAAGGGACGCAGGAGTATATCTATTTCCCAGCGGGCAGGTGTGTGGCAGCATGGTGACCACACAGCAAAACGTAGTGTCCTCTGCATCTCCTGAGCTTCAAGCATCTGCTGGAACTGATGGTGGGAGCTTCTGTCAAGGCCTGTGACCGCCCAGGAGTCCAGCTGTGGGATGTTCCCAGAGGTGGGAAGTGATTGAAAGTAAGACTACGGAAAGTGTGACCGGACAGGGGAAGTGCTGTGCTTGGTGGCCAGGCTGCAGGAGGAGGTGGGCAGGCTGGGGAGTGTTGGAGCTGAGCTCTGCCGTCTGTGATACATAGAAGCCAACTTGACATTGCCACTAGGGAGGCAGATCCTGGATCTGCTTTGTGCCAGAAGGAAGGCAGCTCACAAGAAATGAGAAGGACTGGAGGAAAGTTACAACATGAACTGGTAAGAGAAACACCTCTTTAACCTCTGAGTTGCCCTTTAAGATGCCCCTACAGAAAGTGAGGCTGTGGGTAAGTGGACAGAGCATGTAATGAGAAAGAAAAGGAACCTGCACAAGCAATCTTGACGGCATCAGAGACCCCAGCCCCTCAGAACAAGCCCTGCATTAAGATCAGCGCCAGGAAGAAACATCGATGAGTTATGGTTGTTGGTGATTCCCTCCTGTTTGCAGACCAGACCCTCTTCTCAGGGAAGGCTTCTCCCTCCCTGGGGCCTGGGTTAGAGGCGTCACAAGATTGAAGAGCCTAGTTCAACCTTCAGACTACTATCCAGTCCTGCTCTTTCACGTCGGTATAAATGATGTTGCAACAAAAAAATGTGAAGTCAATCAAAAGAGACTTCCGAGCCCAGGGAAGAGTGGTAAAATACTCAGGAGAGTAGGTTGTGTTTTCCTCAATCTTGCCAGTAATGGAGGGAGACTTCAAAACAAACAAGTGAGCCCACAGTATCAATACCTGGCTCCTGGACCCATGCCTCCACCAAAATTTTGAGTTTCTAAACCATGGAAGAACTTTCAAGAGACAAAGTATATTGAGGCCTAATGGGATCTGTCCGTTCCGATGGGGAGTAACAGGTCTTCTTTAAGTAGTAAAACCTTGTCGTTTTTAAACTACAGTCGACGGGGGAAGAGGATACCAAGAGGATTGCGGTAGGAGAGCCAGGGGTTGGCATGGCATTGCCAGAGGATGGAAATCCTAGTGGGAACATTTACACCGCTCCTGGGAGCATGGAGGTCTCAGGAGCGTGTCCAAAACACTTGTACACCAGCACACGCAGTGTGAGAGATGAATGGGCCAAACTGGAAGCCTTGGTCAGCTCCCGGAGCTCTGATATCAGGGATATGAGCAAGACTTGGTAGAGTGAATCCCATGATTGGAGTGCTGGGGCGAACTGGTTCAAAGCTGTGCCAGGGGAGGTTCATTGGGGACATTAGGAAGTGCTGCTTTTACCCTGGGACGGGTTTCCTGGAGAGGTGGTTGATGCCTCAAGCCTGTTGGTGTTTGAGAGACGTTTGGCCAGTGCCCTTAACCTCTTACCGATGTCCTTGAACTTTTGGTCGGGCAGTTGGACTAGAAAATCGTTGTCAGTCCCTTCCAACTCAAGTATTCTGTTCTATTCTGTTGTGTTCTATTAATTATTTTATCGTTATTTGATATCCTGAATTTAATAGAGGAGTCTCAATATAGCTAAAATGGATTTGATTCCTTATTAGTCTGCATTTAGGGGCTATAATTGCATCAACTTGTTAGGAGTACAAATCAGAAACAACTTCACTGAAGTCCCTATAGAAAAATGTGAGTGATGCTTTAGTAAGATTCCATGCATAAAAGGAACAGATTAAATTCCTTGCTCAAAAAAGTTTTCATGCTGCCTTCACATGGGGTATGAATGTCTCAGTGTTTTTATCACTGTATTAAATACAGATATGTGCAGTTGCATCTGTACATGCTATGTACAACCAGTGTGTTCTTTGTGTATTTGTTCTTAGTGCAATAGCATCAATCTTACGAGCCTGGCTCGATCAGTGCCCTGAGGATTTCAGAGAGGTGCCCAACTACCCATGTTTGCTGAAGTCGCTGGATTACCTGAAGAGGAATATACCCAACTCTGACCCAGAGAGGAGGGCACAGAACCTCTTGGAGCAGTTCCAGAACCAAGAAGTGGAGAATGATGGTAAGTCACTTCTCCCTTCTGCCTTTCTGCTCTCCCAGGCTGTATGGTACCACAGGGATTTATGTGGAGTACACCTGATAAACTCTTAACACTAGTTGTCAATATTGTGAGGCTCACCAGTGACTTTTTCCTTGTTTCTTTTTTAAAAAAAAAATTCTCTGTATGGGACTACAGGTTCTGTGCGGGATGAAATAGTTGCACAGTGTAGGCACCTATGCCTCTTCCTTCTGGACTAGATTGGGAAATTCAGCATGTCTCTAATATTTAGCCAAAGCTTTGAGATTGCTGCAGCAGCTGAGTGGTTCATTGTCAGCCCGCTTCCCATCTCATTGAATTAAAACACACAGCTGCTCTTTAGCTGCTCTTCTCACTTGAATCCCACCCCCTCCTCCTGCCCCAAGAAAAGCCCAAACCAAGAAAAAGCGAAATACAGAGCTGAAACAAAATACAGCTTGAGTCCCAGTCCTTGTTGCCATGAAGCTTTTCTCCCTGGTTACCGTCATGTCAAAGGAAGTGGCTGTGGCTGTTTTTTCCTATTTGAGTGGCCGGCTGCTGGTATCTAAGGACAGAGGAAAAACTTACGTTATTGGGGGTCACAGTCGCCTGAAACAATAGTGAACTGTAGTAACACAAATATGCTGTGTGTCGCGTCAAGCCTGACACATACCCGTATCCTGCTCAGAAAGCTTCCTGTGACATGAGCCGAAAAGCCGTAGGAGCTCACGTAGTGTGCGAGTGAGAGCTAGAATCAATTTCCAGCTTTAGCAGAGGGGCAAGAGGGAATGAATTGTGTAATAAAGGAAATAACAGAAAAGAAACATTTCATCCCATAAAAATCATGTCTGCCGGATGTTCCCGAAATACCACGTCAATGCATAATGCTGTGAAATACCAGATTAACTCAGTGATTACTACATACATAAAAAGGAGAGCCAGGCGTTTTCTTTGTTGGTCACAGGTAAGTGAACAGGATTGCTCATACGTGCCCTTTGATGTCCTTTCTGGGGTTTGGTTCCCACAGGTCAATCAAAGAAAGCTCTCGAGAACTATATTTGGGTTCGTTTGTTGTTCAAAGTGAACAGGAGTTCCCAGCAGCCCTGTTCCTCAATTTGTTTCGTCAAGGAACAGTGGAAAAAGTTCTTTTCCAAGGCATAGATGGGTCAATCTGAATGATAACACTTTACAAATTGTGGCAGAATAGACTGTAATTAGAATCAAATCAGAAGAGGACCACAACCTGCAGGCTCTGCGAAGAGTTTTAAAACTATCGCTTTATCAGTATCCACCTTTGCTCATTTCAGAGATTCCTTTCCAAACTCCTAATATGCAATTGTGGCAGAATGGACTGTAATTAGAATCAAATCAGAAGAGGACCACAACCTGCAGGCTCTGCGAAGAGTTTTAAAACCATCGCTTTATCAGTATCCACCTTTGCTCATTTTGAGAGATTCCTTTCCAAACTGCTAATATGCTGTCTGCCATCAAGATTTCCTGATAGTTGCTATTCTAAAACATTCGTGTTGTGCTCTGAATTGACAAAATTGGGCCCTAATCCTACAGCTCTGATTCGTGTGATCAGACCTCCCATTCAGGGCTGCCATCAGCCGTGCCGGTACATTAGATTTTGCAGTTCCAGATCCACAGGTAAGAGCTGGTCCTGGCCTCAGTTCTTGAAGCTGGAGCGATACAAAGCGAGGTGAGTCAGAGACAGCAAATTCGCTAAGGAGCACGTGCTTGCTCTCGGCAAAGTTGAGAGGGCTCGATGGGTCAGAGCAGTTGGAAGGTGACTGATAAGACTCGAGTACGAGAGGATTCCAGCTTCTTGGAGAGGAGGGAGAAGACTGCTTACGCGTTTGTGACGGTGTGAGAGACAGGAGAAAAAGAGATGTGGAAAGAAAGGGAAAACCTTGTGCTGCACACTAGGGCTTGTTTTTAAGGTGCTGTGAGGTTTTGAGTAGGGTTGCAACTCAGTGACGAGGTTTTTCAGTTGGATTTCAGGAGCTGAAAGGAGAATCAGTTACATAGCCAAAAAGAGAGAAGAAAGTGTGACTCTTGTGTAGCAGTTCGGTAGAAATCCATTTACTTACGCATATCATTAGCCGTGGGAAATAATGCTGGAACAGAGGGCTCCATGATTTTTATCACATTTAACTCTGTCAATAAATTGTGCAACTGGAATGTACAGATGGAAATCTGGATACAGCCTGTACTTACAGTTTGTTACATCAAAACTGTAGCAGTCTGCATTGAGGATTAGGTTTTGCTAATTAATGAAGAAAGGAGAAATGAAGTATTTTGAAAGACAACGTTTATCTACTTTCATTACTTTAATGTCCGTTCTGCCTTAGTTGAATGTGCTTAACATACGCTGAAATGCACTACTTGTTTTTGTTAATGAAATCTCCCCAATAGTAAACTCAGTATTTTCTATGTTAATTTTCAACAAGGCTTATTGTGGTTTTTTTCCCCTCCCTTCTTAGGGAGTGACTGTCGCCTTACAGTAAAAGGAATTAGGAAAAGGATTTATTTGGGGGGATTTTCTGTTTGACTTCCTCCTCTGCCATGGGAAACAAGGCCTATTTCTTTGTGTTTTACTGTGGCTTTGTTTCCAACCTGTGGGAGCCAAAAGGTGACACGGGAACATCTGTGAAATCCCTTCCCTTCCGCACCGGCCCAGTTTCCTTGATGAGGATAGCTCTCCTCTCTGCCTCTTCTTCCCTGCTGCGCAGTGCAAATTCAGAAGCAGTATTTAGGTGAATGCTGTAGCTGCTCACTGTATTCCCTCTTCAGGGAAGAGTTCCCAAAGAGGGAAGATGAGGGATACTGGAATAAACTCTCTGGTATAGTCCGTGTAGACCCAAATGGTGCCAAGAAATCTGACACCTCCTTTTGTTTCCACACAAGGGAGATGAAATCTGGACAGAAGAGCATTCCTAATGCAATATTTTGAGGATATATCTGCAGTCTCCTCCCTTTGCAGTTTGATTTTTTTTTTTTCAGATTATAAAATGCATTATTACTGAGAAGTGGATTAACAATTGTTAATAAGGAATTTTTGTTGGGGTGATTTTTCTTTCAGAAGAATGGTTAATGACTGGCTTAAGCCACTTCTCTGCCAAGAGACCCTGAACAGCTCAATTCTCTCTAACTTTGTTTAGTTTTCTTCCACCTTTTCTTCAATAATTTGATCTTCTGGTCGTCATCTTTCTCACTAAAATATGGAACACAGTGGAACCATTACATCAGGCAGGACCCTTTGGGTATTCTACTGTAGTATGTACAGTGATGTTTTAAAGTAAACAAACATCTGCTTTGATTCTCTGCTTGCTGTATAAGTTTACTAACTCCAGTTTTCCATCCTGGACAGACGGGTTCTATAATACTTCCTTCTGTAACGTGTATGATGAAGAGGAACTGGAGATCAGCAGTCCAGAAGAATTCTCTTTCTTCCAAGAAGACTCTGTGGCAGAACAGTTGACGTACATGGATGCTGTATGTAGAGGATATGTAATTACTTGAAACGCTGGGGAAAGTAGTGCTGAGCTTCTAAAAGATATTTTTTAAGTTGTGTCAGTATGAGTATAGTGTTCTAGAACAGGGCTGTTGTTGGGACATACAACACCTGGTTTTCCAAACTTGCCTCGTTCCTTGGGCTTTTTGCGTCAGTCATTCCAGAGCTGTGGGGTTTTGTTTGTTTTTAAAGTGTGAATGTATACCATGCACCATTTTTTGCAAAGTTTAATATCCAACACCTGAGAAATAGCACATTTTGACTATATTGCTAGCTGGCCTAAATGGCTAGAAGTAGCTTTAACCGTAGTGTTCTGATTTGATTTGTCTGTATCCATCTCCTTCAAAATGCCATCATATATTTTTTTTCCCTTTGATCATGCAACTGATAGGAAGGAGTCCCTTATTTTCCCAGGACTATCTACCTGACAGTTCTTTTAGTGTATCAAGCCTATAAAGAGTATGGCAAAGTGCATATTTTAAACTAAGAGTAAACAAATACTTACCTTTTGCTACCGTTTAGATCCAATTTGTACTGTAAGCATGCATTTCTTGTTGTGAATGAGAGAGACCTAGGAGAATCCTGCTGATGTAGACACGCCTATTTCACTCTAGGACCTCTTCAAGAAAGTCGTGCCCCACCACTGTTTGGGATCCATATGGTCTCGAAGGGACAAGAAAGAAAACAAGCACCTGGTGCCTACCATCAAAGCCACCATCTCTCAGTTCAATGCCGTTACCAAATGCGTTGTCAGTACTATCCTGAAGACCAAGGAACTCAAAACACAGCAAAGAGCCAAGATCATTGAGAAGTGGATTCATATCGCACAGGTAAGGCCTTTCTTCTAGACTGTTGAGTGTTTCTTGTGCAGGTGCCTTGGAGTGAGGGAGCTGGGAGTGGAGAAAAGGGGTCATATGCCTTGGTCCCTGGCCAGTGAACATCTTGGCTCTAATTCTTTCTGGTTTTGGCCGACTTTCTTTGTAATAGCAGACCAAGCATTGCCCGTCCTCTCCTTAGTCCCATTGCTACCGTGGAAATGGGGTTGACATTTGTCTCTCCACAGGGTTGGGAGCACTCATTAATGGGCAAGGCAGATCCTGTGTCCTGCGGATGGGGAGTGCCGTGTACTTGATAATGTAAAGTTAACGATAAGAGATGTATAAATTCAACCAGTTCACTTCCCTTGGAAGAAAATACTGCTTGTATCGGTGAAGTGATGGTTGGCATCATCTGAAGGTTGGGCTTGCTTTCAGAGAGAGGTTTAACAAGAACAGAGCAGGACTGGCAGAGGGATGCAGGCAGAATCAGCTTTGCGCTTACCTGCCTTTGGCCCTTCGTGTTTGGTCAGTGAACCTCTATGAACCCCGTGGGAGTTAAAATCAGCTGTAGTGGAAGACAGCCCAACTGTTTGTGTTTTCCTACTTTCACGTGTACACACACACATACATAAATGTAAAATAGAACAACATCTTCAGCAAGTGTGGGCAAAGCTAACTTATTACTAGCTAAGAGGAAGTAATGGCCTTTTTAACATGGAAAAAAATGAAATTTTTGTTTTGAAAAACTCTTGAGGCTGAAAGGTTGTTTGTCTGCTGAGTTACTCACAATTTATGTCAGGTATACAGACCAGCTGGGTTTGGAGGGGGCTTGTACCTGTTGGTACAAGCAGTGACCAGAAAAAAACAAGGAGAGTTACAATATACCAGTCTCCTCATCTTCTTACCTTTCTGTCTTACCATTACCTCCCGTGTTTCTTTTAACACATTTCTACTCTTCGCTTCAATTCCTTTGTCCTATACCAGATTAGGTGTTTCTGAATCTTTGCGTGCCTTATTTACCCAACTCTGGTGTGCTAATTTTTTAGGTTTTATCTTTAATATTTTACTGCAATCTTTGTAACTCCCCTTCAAAGCACCAGGCAACTGGCACTAAACTCGAGCTGTCTTTTGAAGAGAACATTGAAAGCACTTTGGTGTGGATGTGTGTTGACTTTAAGAATCAGATGGGTTCTTTCCAGGCTTGGCAAAATAAGCAGTCATAAAAAGCTCGAGCTAGAGGCTGTCCAACCTTGACAGCGCACTTCAGTGCTCCCAGAGGCGGCATTGTTAGTCCTGGCACCTAAGCTCTGGTGACTGCACAGCTCGGGAAACTGGTACAGGGGAGCAGTCGTTCACCTCTCCTTTGGCACTTACGTGGACTCGTTTTTGTTGTCATCCGATGGCTGCTTTATAGCCTATGTGAACGGATAAGGAAGTTTGATTCTTGTTTTCCGTGTGCAGATCCTTCTTAAGTTGCAGAGGGTACCCGCTACAGGGGCCTTTATGGGGCAGCTTGAGCAAATAGGTCTGAAGCAGCTTTCTTGTCCTCCTCCTCCCTGAGGCAGCGCTCATTGTACGTGTTCTGGGGATGGAGAACTTTGTTCTCCACCTCTGTTGATTTGGTGCTTCTCCCTTTACTTAATTCGTGTGCATAATGAAATACTTCAGTCTTCGCTAAGGACATGAAAAATGCATGTGCACGCTCCGCAAAACAATGGCACATGTAGAACAGCTAGTTGCATGTGTGCTCAGCTGCCGCTTCTGAAGACAGTCGCTTGCTTTGCACATGCAAATGAGTGTTTTGAATAGTTAGATGCCTGAATTAGAAAATAATCTGCTCATTAAAGCGCAGTTGTTGACTGACGGCTAACTCTGTAACTTAGCAGCGTGGAGTTCCACATTTGTTACCTGTTCATGACTTTTGGATCCAGTTTCTGGGTGTGCAAGATAAACTGAATACTTTTTCTAACTGCCAGCCCTCTTTGCTCCACCTAAATCTAAGGTTCCTGATGAGGAGCAGCCAATTTTACTCACACAGTATTTTCTTTAAAAACAAAAAGTAAAATTAGATCACTAATATCCTGTTACGCTTAATTTTTTTTAAAATCAAAGTTGCTTCTGCACAGGATTCTTTCTTGTTTTCCTCTTGTGAAGGACACAGCATGAAACAAAGTTATTCAAACCAGTCTTAAAAGTTCTTCTTATATACAAATGAAAGCTTGCTAAAGTTTAGTCTGCAGTTACATCATGGAGAACACAAAATCCAGTACTGAACTCCTGATGTGCTTTAAATTATGCAACATGGCAGTTAAACCAAGATGGTTCCAAACTGGATCTTCTCCTGTTGTATTTGAAAAAAAAGAAATGCTGAGAATTTGCGCCTCCAAATCTACCTTCTCCCCAGTCTGAATTTTAAGTTGAACGAAGGGTGTTCTTAAATGTGTCAGCCTCTGAAGAAGAGCTGTTACGTGGCTTCTTTGGCCCCAAACCTTGCAAGAATAGCTGTCAGGCTTTGTGTGTCCCACCGCGTGATCTTGAACTGCCAGCCTTGAAGGAGTGCTGTCTGCCCGGTCAGGCTGCCTAAGCCACACTTTGTTAAATGGAGCCTCCTGTGCCATACAAAGATTTATTTTTTTTTTTTTAAGTAAAGGAATTGGGAGTTGCCTTTGTTGTTCAGTCAACTCTGATACAGCTCATGAATAGAGCTGCTGAACATATTAAGGTCTGGCTTTGGTTTATGCCAAGGTTGCTTTACATTTTTCAGTCCTAGAATGGAAAAAAGTTATGATTTTACTTTAAGAAACCTTTACATAATCAGCATTATTCGTGTGATAATCTGCCCTGTAAACATTTGCAGAAGTGGAATTGTAGTTTGAATACCTTCTCATCTACATGCAACAGTGAAATTGGCCTGTGCTTTGTCTGCTTAATTTGCACGTACAGACACCTGCGTGAGAGCTCGTGTTTGCCAGTTTCTTAAGCCTGCGGTGCCCATGTGCTGGTTCATGAGCCACCAACAGGGGTTCCCTGAGGAGGCACAGGTCAGACTTTCCCCCTCCTCCCTCCTCCCATCTGCTTTATCAGATGCTGTTTTTTGGAGGATGAAGTCTTTTCAGTGTCCTTTTCCATCAAAGCTTTTGCCACAGAGAAGCTGCCTGCGAAATGTCTGTGAACCAGTCTCTCTGGTAGGATTTGATCCCAACCCTGGAAAAGCTGAGAAGGTTTTTCTCTTTAACAGTGGTGCACATACTTGAATAACAGGTTATTCCTTTGCATGTCTTTATTTTTAATTGACACTTAGATGATTGAGGGTTTACACTTTAAATACCACATACAAAGAGGCAAAGCCTGGGTTTTCCCCCTGAAGGGTAAAAGGGAACAGTAACTATAAAGAGCTTTTTGAGTGTAACATTTGTGCTCTTTGGCCTGGCTTTGTGGACTCAATTCCACTTGTATTTCTACCAGCAGAGCTGGAAGCTACAACACTGCAACATCACCACAAATACATGAAAGTGAGGAAAACAAGATAGAAGTGCCAAAGCCCATAAAGCATTTGGTGGCTGGAGTGGGGATTGATATTTTTGATGCTCGATGTTTGTACAGCTGCCTGCTTAGCAGTGAGAATGTGTAGCCAGCGTGACACCGGTCAAACAGAAGAGCACTAACGTATTCGTAATGCTGACATTTAATGCTCCTGTATTTCTAACCGCTCCTTTCGCAGGAATGTAGGATGCTGAAGAATTTTTCCTCCTTGAGGGCCATCATTTCAGCACTGCAGTCCAACTCCATCTATCGCCTGAAGAAGACCTGGATGTGTGTTTCAAAGTAAGCCTCCCCCTCCGCTCCTCTGGCTGGCCCCAGACAAAGGCCAAGAGCTCAGCACCCTTTCTTTTCGTCTTGTACTTCTCAGTCTTCCTGTTCTGCTCCTTCATGGACACCTGTTCTCTTCAAAGAACCTCTCATTCCTGTGAGGCTCAGCGCCCTGGTTTTTTGGGTCTGAGGTTCAACCCCCTTTTTTGGGGATCTGAGCTTCTCTTCCATATTGAGGAGACAACCCAGACTCAGAGGTACTGGGTCTGTTCTGTCCTTTGTTGCATAGTGGATCTTCCACGACCTATTCTGAAAAGCTTACAGGGGATTACCTTGTTGTGCCCTTGACGTGTTTACTGCCTGCTAAACCAGAAGTCTCTGTTTAGGAAAGATAGTGTTCTGCTTGGTCAGTTTGGGAAGAATAGATTTCTTTCCTCTTCCTTTTGATAAACAAAGAAAAATGTCACTCTGCTGCTCAGTATCCTTCTGCATTTCCCCTAGAGAGAGGTGGGTCTTTCCTTCCGCTGCCCTGTGGTCCTGATCAAAATATTGCCATCTTGTGTTTATAGCGTGCGGCAATATGCTTAAATCCCTCGAGCTTTCCAGAGTGCATGGGACAGGGCAAAAATTGAGTACTTAGGATACCTCTCACGTCTATTTTTCTGCTCCTTCTTATCCATTTACCCACTTTCTTACAAAATCTCATACCCTGCCAGTGATTGAAAACCCTGTTGAGGGGCTGCGTACCTGTGGCATATCTTTGTGATGCTCTCGCACAAGGCCTGACTTTACCAGGAGCAGTAGAAGATTCCAGGAAGCAGATGTGCAGCATCTCATTGGATGCATTTTGGTGCTGTTGTCTTTTATATGCCCAACTGTTAGCGATTTCTGAGGAAAAAAACAGTAATCTGATCTGATTTGGAGTGCTTCCTGATAACTGACATGATTTAATCTTTTCCTCCACAGGGACGTAATGCTGGTGTTCGAAGAGCTCTCTGATATCTTCTCAGACCATGACAATTATTTGGCGTGCAGGGAGCTGCTGATGAAGGTGAGAATTAGCTTTACGCAGCCATATGGGACGTAAACCGCTGGCATGTGCCCGCTCTGAGCAGGCGTGGCAAGGCTCAGGCTTGTGCCGGTGAGCACAGAGCAGCTCTGAATGAGGTTCTCAACCAGGCAGTGGTTTTGACTTCACTGGAATGACACCACTCCTCTTCAGCCAAAGAATTAACCCGAGATGTTTATCTGACTAGCCCGTACCTTTCTTGGAACCAGAAAACAGGGCTGGGAATTTCGAAGGAACAGGCTTCCTGCTCTGTGTGTGGCCAGATGGACAACAAAGCAGGCTCTGTCTGAAACAGTTTGACTTTTGCACTCTCCTGGGCAAACCCCAGCAAGCTTAGGAGCTTGAAAGGAGTGGGGAAGAATAAGAGGGAAAGGTTATATTTTCTAGAAACTAAGGAATGCTTGTGGCAGTTTTTTTCTGCTTACATAAAAAAGTTCCTATAAACTGGTTAATCAGTTTACGTTTGGGCAGTCCTACCCCGTCAATCTGGCATTTGTACCTCACTCCCTTGCCTTGGTATCTGAAACACTGTGTTTTGCTCAGGAATGACGGGTGAACGCATTCAAACCTGTCAGTCTGTTTCATTCATCATCCATTTCTCAATGCCCATAGCTACATTGTAAAGCAGGTCAGGCAATAATAAGCATTGAGGGAAAAATGTTTGTTGAGAACAGCTTATTTAACTAAATATTAAAAAGACAAAACAACAACTCCATCTGAGCCCAGACCTTCTGGCTCCCAGCAAATCACTCTCTCCAGCTGATGTAAGTAGATTTGCAAAACATTTTGAAAGCAGCGAGAAGAGAAGAATTCCACAGAAAGCTAGAACCTCTCTCCTGCTTCTTGCCTTGGATTGTGTAACGATTGGAGGATTAATGTCAACTGAATCCGTAAAGTCCTTGTTTTCTTTCACTTATAAATAGTTTCTTTAGGGAAGCTGTGCTTGACCTTGCCTACCCATCCTGCAAATGTCACTTTAGAGCAGACCAAACGCTGTATGAAGCAGGCTGGCCAGCACAAAGCAGGAGCACTGTGTCCTCTCCTCCCCAACAACAGCTCTGCCATGAGCTGCGGTTTCGGCTTCCATGCCTGCCCGCCGGCTGCTGTTAGGGAATTTTGAGTTTACCTTATCTCCAAGATGCCGGGACAGCACTCCTTTTTCACTCGCTCCTGGTTTTCAGCCGAGGAAGGAAATACCTTTTGAGTGATCTGTCCATTAACTGACTGAGAGAAGTAAACATGGCGATGAGAGGATCTTTACAAGTGCAGGCTGTTGTTTTGTGGCTCTTAAAAGGACGTTGATAGTGATTCATGCAACACATATCCGACCCCTGGAAAAAACAACAGTAACTCCCAGCATCCTGAATGGATCCAGGGAAATAAAGGCTACAGGTCTATTGTGAAATAGCTCATCCATTCCTGGGAAAGCTTGAATTATGGAGATGAAAACCTGTTACTTTCATTTCCTGCGTATTTTTGGATTGTTCCATAAGCCACAGAGGGTAGTTGCTGGATCTCTATGTTGCAGAATAAGAAAAACAACAAAGTATTAAGCCCATGACAGGGAGGTTGGATTAAATGATCCCTAAGGTCCCTTCCAGCCTAGGCCAGTCGATGATTCTATGATAAGATAGAGATGTTGGCTTGCAGCAGTCCTGATTAGGAAATTAAACAAAAATCCTAAGGTCAGGAGCAACAGGACAGAATTCAGAGAAGCATCTGGCCACCCGAAGTGTATCAAAGCTTCTCTGATTTCAGCTCTCAGGAGATTTTTCAACAGCACATTGTTTCGCTCAGACTAGAACCATTTGGCAGAAAAATTCCCCGATAGTCCTCTTGTGGAATTTTGTCCTAAATTCCCAATCAGTTTATGAGTCCAGAAAATTAGCATGTGTACATATACACGCATGTAGGTGCACAGCAAGTATTTCTGCTGGCCTAGCTTGCCTGTTTAAATATATTTGCAATTAATTTACACAGATACTGTTGCCAGCATACCACTTAGCTCCTCAGTTAACTGGCTTTAATTCTCTCTAACTCACAGGAAGGAACATCTAAATTTGCAAATCTGGACAGCAGCGTGAAAGAAAACCAGAAAAGGACACAGAGGCGGCTGCAGCTTCAAAAAGATATGGTATGTTTGGGGTCCTTTCCCTCTCTTTTTTTGAACCGGTGACATGATTAACCTTAATTGGTGAATTATATAAGAAGTAAAACTTAGAAAGGTGTTTAACAAAGGGAAGAGCTGTCGGAGTGTGCAGTAGGTGATGCTCTTAAATTGCCTTCTGTCAAGAAAAACAATCCCATCGCTGCTATTGATGAGCTGATACGAAGCAAGGGAACTGAAAGGTTTAGACTGAATATGCAGCCTGTCCCTGGAAATACACGCCCAAAGCTGTATTGCCCTTATGCTGTGGATCACAGTGAGCACGTAACACCGTGCCTGTGTGTATCATACGTACAGATATATATATATAAAATAAGTTCAATATGAGCCGCCAGTGTGCACTCACAGCACAGCAAGCCAATCATGTCCTGGGCTGCATCAAAATCCACGTGGGAACAGGTCGAGGGAGGTGACACTGACCCCTGCTCTGGTGCGAGCCCGCCTGCAGTGCTGTGCCCAGCTCTGGGGCACTCGATGTTTTCGGCCATGGTTTCAGGTCTTCCAGAGATTTACTAAGCCCCCCATATAGAAGAGCAATAAATGATTGATGAATATAAGCATGCATTCATTATTTTCAACTGTCTTCGTTTTGTCCTACAAGGAGGAATTGCATTAATTAGTCTTTTACCCTTGAGAGAGAAATACGTGGAAAGCCACACCATTTTCTTGTAGTGAAATACGCACTGTAAATAGTGGAATTCTTGTGATGGAGAAAATTAACTCTGGCCAGAGCAGAAGTCTCATTTACTTTTAAACAAGCTCATAAAGCCTCTGACATACCAGCCTGAAAATTGCACCGACTTCTACTGAGATTACTTTGTAAAATGTGTCCAGTTCCCAGTCTGGCAAAGATTTAAAAGGACAAGGGGAGAGAAACGTGGGATAGGGAGGCAGAAGTGCTGAGTATGATTTTTTTTTGTCATTTTCTTTCAATTTTAGAAACAGCCTGAACTCTACAATGCTTGCAGCCTAGCAAGTTTAAAATTTGAATGATTACTATTAAAATACAGTGAGTGTCTGAGGAGGATGGAGGAAAGAAGTGTGACTGGATTTGACTTGACCGTCACATGGCATGGCAACATCATTAAATAAAAATCCCCTGGAGTAAGGCAGAGAGAGAAACTGCTTACCCTGGGCCAGCCAGGACCCTGCCCCAGCTCCCTTTTTTGTGGCCAGCAACCAAGGGACCCTGTCCCTGCTCCTTGGTGCTTCTGCCACAGGCAGGGTTTCCTGGTGACCCGCTGTTAGAAATCAGTGGATCATAGAATCATAGAATGGCCTAAGCTGGAAGGGACCTTAGAGATCATTTTAATCCAGCCTCCCTGACACCAGGGACGCCACTATGAAACCACTTGGCAATACTTGGGAGAGCATCCTGCTCTCATTAGAATTTGATTGAAATTCTAGATTAGATACTAAGGATGAAGTGATGAAGTAAAGCATAACTTACAAGACCACTGTTTGGATAAGCAGACTACTTCTATTTCATTTCTTACGCAGGAATATTGTAGCATTCTAACTGGTATCACTTCTCAGTCAATTAATTCAGCATTGCTCTGATGACTTGCAGGGAGTAATGCAAGGCACGGTACCTTACCTTGGCACCTTCCTCACCGATCTCATCATGCTTGACACAGCCCTTCAGGACTATGTCGAGGTAACTGGGCGCAGTTTTTTGAACCCTAAATATCTTCTCTGCCTTCCCAGCACTGTATCTGTTCCTGTATCTTCTACTCGGGTTCTTGTGCGATTCATAAAAATGGAGGAATCTGTTTTCAAAAGAAAAAAGGGAAAAACATGGAGTTTTATTAGCAGTAAGAACCTTGTGTGAATTTGAGTGCAGTTATCTCGAGGGACAAACTTAGCATTGAGTTTTGTCTTGTTTCCTTAGGTTAGAAAACATGAAGACCACTGTCCATAGTACTGTCTATTACTCTGTTTTGTCTTTCTGAAAACAGCATTTTAGGTGTGAAGATTTCTGTGAATATTTGGTAAAATACACAGAATTACGAATTCTGTCCTTCTGTGTAATTCAGTTCTTCAGACTGATCGCTGAAGTGTCTGAAGGCATGATGCATCTGAGCCCTAAAGTGATGAGAGACTTGGGATTTCTTCATTTCTCTGTAGCTGAACAAGCCGGGGAAATGCAGCCTAGGAAGAGGATTGCAAGAGTCTGGTTGTTGAACAGACTGAGGATGGGGCCAATTTTCAAAGGTGTTTTTTACCAAGGTCTTAGTGGAGACACTTGAGGAGCTGTGCTACAGGCACTCAGCCTTCATTGTGCTGGTGGTTGGTTTTGGTTTTGTTTTTTTAATAAGAATGGGCAAATACAGTTGCCCCTGGGCTGGTAACAGTTGGTGATTGGTTGTTTTGCAAAACTGCACTAAAGCAGGCCTGCGTGAGGTTGCTATGTATCCATTTTCTCATGGGCAGTATCCCTTTTTTCATGCTTTCTGTTCAGTTGGTATTTCTGCAGCTCGCTGGGACCACCATGGAACTCGCAGCACAAGCAAAAGCCAAGCTTGTTTCTTGCGTGCAAAACCCCGCTTGCATCTTCTAGAGCTGATCCCAACACAGCTTTTAGGAGCATTCTTGTATATCAGGCTTTTCTCCTTGGGCAGATTGCCATTTAGGCCATGAGGACAGATGTCCTTTGGAGACTCAGATACAAATGCCGCAGTTTATACCAGATCTGGGAGCAGGTATTTTTAGAAGGTCCTTGCTATGGGCTAGTCTGTGCTTTACATTAGCCTTGCTGCTTCATATCCTGTTTGTGATTAAATTCAGTTGAGCCTGTGCTCTTCTACTCTGATGCCTTCTCTTTCCTTCCAACAGGGTGGCCTGATAAATTTTGAAAAGAGGCGAAAGGTGAGTTGAACGTTTTGTGATTTTTTTTTTTTAGTTTGCTGATGCTCAGGCATATACAACAGATGCTGATTTTAATGCAAATTCATGATGGAAAGAATAGATGCTCGGAGCCGCTGCCAAAGCTTGAGGGGTGGCACAGGAGAACCTGCTCTTCAGATGTGTGTGATCGGGGAAGAGGAGCTGCGGGGATTTAGGTGTGGGGTGTGCACTCTCCCTCCGTTTGGTGCTCGTGGGAAATATGTGACATGTGTATGTCCCATGTGCCAAATCAGGCCTGGTGGCATGAGACCTCTGCTCTCCAGAAGATCCAGTTTGTCAGTATCTTCCTTCTGCTGCAGTAAACAAAAGGCTGCAGGGAGTGAACTAAGCTCCTGGGACTGAGAACTAAATGCTATCGGTCTTCCCTTTCAGCCTGATCCTTGTTGGTCAGAGATAAGGAATGCTGTGTAGGAGCAAAGGTACCAGGGTTACATCTTTCTGAATGATATCGTGACAAATCTCCATTCTGGGGTCTGAAAGCAGACTTGGTTTTGACTGTCATGGAGCTGTTTCCTTCCCTTAACTGCTCCCAGCTCCACAAACTGCTTCTGGGACCTGCATTGTACGTAAACTGCACGGCCCGGGACACAGCTAGTGCCATCTCCGAGCTTCTCCATGGTCACCAGTCCAGCTTCATACAAACCAGCGGCAAAGCCGCCCCCTGAACTGTGCCAAGTACTCAGCTCTGTTCCTGTGCCCCTGCTCTTAACACAAGGGGCTTTTAAGAATTATTTCAGCCAAGTGTGTAAGCAGGCGGGGTTACAGAAGAGCAGCATGTTCTAGCCACACATGCTAAGGGGAGCATTTTACACTCCTCTGGTGCAGTTGTGAGCACGCCAGGTGCAAATCCGGCTGGGATGAGACTCTTTGCTTTCATTGCAGGCAACCCAAATCCTCACCCTTGCTTGGGGCCTGAGAACCGCTCAAGTAGAGAGCATGGTTCTTCTCTGAGAGCTGGTCTGGCCAGCGCAGGGGTGAGCAGGGAGTCTATAGTCTGAAGGATTTAGACCCTTTGCTACCCTTGTTTCTAGAGGAACAACCGGCAGTGCTGCCGTTCAGTGGGTTCACCCAGGCTTTATGCTTTGGCTCATACGTGACGAAAGCTCTGTGGTCAAACATGATGCCTCATGTTTGTCTTCTCATTTGCGCATGTCTAATAAATGCAAACATTTCAATGCACGTTATGGATGCTGTTTGAAAAACTGGTTTTTGAAATAGTCACTGAACTTCAGGTCAAACGAAGTTTGTCCTGGATCTGTTGTTGGATGTGTTTGGTATATGAATGAGTTTTATTTGGTTTTATCTTGTTTTCTAATTAGAATTCCGATTTGATTATTTATTTTCTTAGGAATTTGAAGTAATTGCCCAAATTAAGCTCCTGCAATCTTCGTGTAACAGCTATTGCATGATACCAGACCAAAAATTCATCCGGTGGTTCAAGAGACAGCAGCATTTAACTGAGGAAGAGAGGTAGGTTCTCTCAGTCCGGCTGGCAAAAACGACTTTTCTTACCCCAAACCCACCCACAGGCAAGTTATCTCACCCTTTAGCTCTCCTTGCACATTAACTTATTTGTGCCACTGCTTGAGGAGAGTGGAAATACATCTGCCTTCTGCTACCCAGCCATAAAAAACCTGTTGGACACTTAGCAGGGTTTAAGTTTGAGATAGGAAATCAGGCTTTTGACTTGGAAAGAGGATAATGTGTTGTGTCCGGGCTGTCTGTGTGCCCAGACATGCACTCCAAAGTCAGTCCTAAGGGATGTCAAGATACGGCCACTGAGCCTTGGGCTGGTGGTTCTGGGCAGCAGGTAGCCAAGGCAACGCAGAGCTTGCTGGGCGCTCACCAGATAAACGTCTCCGGGGCGTTTGGGGTGGATTTTGCAGCCCCACTGAGTTCTGTGCTATTGCACGTGCTGCCAGACCAGCCCAAGACAATTTATTTACAGCATTTTAATATCTCCACTAGGTTTTTGAGTACCACTCTGCTGTGCTAAGAATGTAAACACAGATGCATACTACACTGTACTGAGCCATAGTCAAAAACCAAAAGCTTATCCAAGATTCAAATGTTAAGTATTTTCTGGATTTTTTTTTTCTTAGCAAAACAATGAATATCATCCAAAATAGCACTATTTTAAAAACTATTATAAAGAAGTGAAATATCCCCGTCACCATGGTAGATTGTAGATGGAGCTGTGTTCCTCCTTGTGGGGTTGCAGCCTTCTGTGAAATGTCAATGAGTGAATGTTTCTCAAATTTCTTGACTATTGCTACTTCGAGATATATTAGAGTATTGTCTGTAAAAATTAATCCAGTGGCCTCTGTTCTGCAGCTACTGCCTTTCACGGGAGGTCGAAGCTGCTGCCGACATTAGCACCACATCGCCGAAATCTCGGAAAAGCGTGGTGAAGAGGTTCAGCCTGTGAGTATGATGGGGCAAAGGGCATTTGATGTGTTAATATGAACCTAAATAAATCAAACAAGCAGTACTCATTTCCCCAGCTGGAAAACCTGGCTGGGGATCCAGACACCATCAGCTCGAAATGCTTGCTTCTGTCTGGAGCCGTCCCTTTCTGTTGTTACAAGTAGTCATGAGGATTATTAATGATGAAAGAGATTAGAAACAAACAAGCCTTCCTAAAGTGTCAGAAAAAGGAACAATTTTAGTGCTGGATTATAAATTCAGTGTCTGTTGTTACTACTAACTTTCCTGAATGCTGTAGCACAACAGAGTAAATGAGGATGAAGTCTGGCCTGTTATTAGTCCAATGTGCTATACACATGCAAAAAATCCTTGCAGGGTTTAAATATGAAAATTAAGGTTAGCAAAAAGGCATTTGATAATAGAAACAATCTGCCTATCTGCCTTCGAGTTAGAGGAGATAAAAAATGATGGGGACATGGTCCAATTTAGTCGAATACTGCAAAGATTCAAACAGGAGGTGGGTGAAGAACGGGGGCGTGGATCTGAGCAGACAAGGGAAACAGACTAGCAGCAATTTGGGGAAAGCTGCGAGGAATAAAAGTGGAGAAGGACTGAAGTAAAAATATCCTAAAGGTGAGAACTTTGAACCTGATACGAGAGATATGAAGGAACTCCCACATACCAGTGGCATGATCCAGCTGAGGAGGGAAATGATGAATTTAACAGCACTGTCAGTACCTAGTTTCCTCAGAACAGTCTTTCCCCTCACATCAGCACTGCTTTGGGTTAGTGTCTGAAAGAGGAATGGATGTTTTCAATCTAGAGTTTAGAGTTCGGATTAAAAAAAAAAAATCTGGGCAGCTGGTTGGAACACGTTTCAATTAGTCCCTCCAGGTTGGTAGTGATACATTACGAGAACGTGAGCTTTGACAATGGCAATGCCTGATCTCTCGGTGGCCTCTTGCTGGTGTCAGCCTTGGCGCGTGCCTAAGCTGTGTGTAAGAACTGTCGCTGCGGAGCACAAGCTTTATTCTCTGGTTTCGGACTGCGTTTCAGTGCTGTTGTACTGTAATTTACGGCACTGAGTTTGTTTGCACTGTGCAGTCCTTGCCTGAAGTATGGTTTCATCCACACTCTGAATGTATTTAGCAAATTAGTACCGTAGAAGACTGGTGTAATTCATGCTGGCAACAGTGAGTGACACCTCTCTGAATTGTTTGAAATCATTAACTGCGTGCTGACATAGCATCCAATTCACCTTGCTTTTCTACTTTATGTATTATACAAGTTTGCTTCCTTTGGCACTCCTTTAAATTTACTTGACCTGCATTTAGGAATGAGTCTGGCAGAACCTATAATTTACGCTTTCTTGTGATCTCCTCGTTGTGTACGTCTCCATTCAGACTCTTGGAGAGAAACTGATATTGGTGGCACCCTTGAGCGCAAGAACTTGCAGCGGCGATGAATTTGCCTTTTGAAGACCTTTGCCCAGTGCGTGCCCGATTCATGCACTGCTTCACTCACTCTTGGCAACTGGCTAGATCTCAAGCTGCCCTGTGTCAGAGGGACCAGGGTGTGACAGCAGCGTGCAGGAGCACTAAGGTGGAGCCAGCTGCCATGCATCTCACCTGCCCCTCGTCCCTTGGGCCATAAACATGTCAAGCGTACGATCAGTCATTTTCTAGCAAAATTTAAAAATTTAACAGACCGAAGAGGAGTCATGTTTGTGATACTGGGGCATTAGCGCTGAGTTTTGGCCTTGCAGCTGGTGGGTACACCAGGTCAAGAAGGTTTTGTGTTAGCGTGGAACAAACTCTCTTGACAAACCATATAAACAGCACAGAGGATATGAAAACAATAGGCCGCTCAAGATAGGAAAACAAAACAATACATGAGGTTTTTGAATCAAGTGACAGCTTTGCTCAGCCCAGATCTGTTTTGCTTTCACTTACTGGCTTTTTTGGTTGTCTATACTAGACTGTTTCTAGGCTCCGAGGTGATTGCCCATAGCACGCCCATCAAAGAGCAACCCAAGTCTCCTCCAGGTGGGAGTTCTGGTGAGAGCACGGACTCAGCAAGTGTTTCATCGTGTGAGCTTAATCACTCCGAATCTGAAGAAGTCTGCACCACTCTCAAAGATGCTCCTGATGAGTCTCAGAAAAAGGTACAGCCTGGGCCTTGCTGCCAGCAGAAACAGCCTGCAAGCACCGCAGGCAGGCCCTAGACACTTGCCTAAGCCTGTTGGTCTTGACTACAGCCTTGCTTTTAGTGGGATGGAGAAACTCTAGAAATGTGCACAGTCCAGTCAGGATTTTTGCACAAGCCCTTCTATGTTGCTGAGGTACGAGACAGGCTGTAGTTCTTTCCTGAAACCAGATTTTCTTGTGCTGCTTGGCAGTGATTTGGTGTAAGTGAGGCTCTGTAGAAGCTGGTGGTTAGTTTTCTTTCAGTCCCTCATTGTGCTTTGTGAGAGGGCATTTCTGCCTTCAAGCCTGTGGGAAGTGGGGTGAGGAGCCCAAACACTGCACTTTCTTATGGCACACGTGGCAGCATGATGTTAGCAATGACACGGACTGGCCATCAGTGAGCTATACCGGCACTTGAGGGGATAATCATCTACTATGAGTTATCAGTCTTGAAGTAAATGAGGCTCTTTGCATTTTAAAGTTATTTCCTGCAGTGCTTAGGGACATGGTTTAGTGGCGAAGCTGGCAGTGCTGGGTTAACAGTTGGACTCGATGATCTTCAAGGTCTTTTCCAACCTAAACGATTCTGTGGGATGAGCTGAAGAGGAGTAGGATCAACAGCTAGTTCTTTACTTCTGGAGTACCTCGGCTTTGATGAATTGCTCTGCTGGCATCATGTCTGTCAGGCTCCATCAGCCTGGAAAAGGAAGTTGGACTTCAGCAGCCACGTGCTGACTGAGGAAAGGCCAGCGGCAGCCAACGCTCCACCTGGGCTCCGGGGAAGGCATTTTCTGGGTGGGGAGGGCCATGTGCGTTAGCAACAGCCTTGTCTTGGGGAAGGCCGAGCAGCCATGCCTGACCCTGTGGGTTGGGCCTTCCAGAGCTCCCTGCTGCCGGGATGAACACCTTGCCTTGGCTCCGTCTGATTTCACAGGGGGCGGAAATGGGGGTACGGGGCTCTCACGCCTCCTCCTGCACGTGTTGTGTGCAAAGGCACAGAGCCAGCGTGCCAGGAACTGCCGTGTTTTGCAGAGAAGGTGAAGCCCTGTGCCCCACACTCCGCCGTGACACGAGAATGAGGCTGATGCTGTGAGCACTGGTGCCGTGAGCTGACGGGCCTGGCGTGTGCTGTTTCCCATCCAGAGAGACAAGCTCTGAGGGATCTGAGTGATGGGGAGGATCTGCGGGGACATCTTTCCTACAGACTGCCCTTTGGAACTAAATCACATTTAACTGTATTGTGGAAACCTTTTCCATGGATATTTTGTGCTGTAGATTGTTAGTTGAGGATTAGTGTATGGATATTTTAAATTTAATTGTACTACATGTTCTTAAATTGAATGAAGCATGAGGTCCCAGGCACCAGCATCCATGAATAGGTTAAACTGTTGAGCTGAAGCAGTTGCTATGGTGGTTTTGATAAACTCATTGGAGAGGGAAGGTCCTCTCAGCAGTTTTTGAACAAGGCAGGTGAAGAGAAAGGCAAAACCCTGAGCAGCTGGGGAAGGACAGGGCCAGTTTGTAATGAGGAAAAAGTACTCAGGGAGAAGCAGCAGACAGGGAGGTGGATGTGCATTTTCACTCGTGTAGACTCTGAGCCGGTGCAGGAGCAGCGGTGCCCCCAATGTCCTCTGCTCGTTCCCGGCTGGTCCCGGTCCCCATTGGTTGGTTGCCCACAATCTGATTCTCTTCGTTGTGTCTGCTGCCATCTCCTGGCCTGCTCTTACCGAGAGGCAAGAGCAAGCAGCGGGGAGTCTGGCATGCCAAACTGGAAATGAGTTTTCATCACAGTAGTGAAATTAATCGAGTGAAGTTTGTTTTTTCTGGAGGCAAGGAGCACCAGTGCATGCTGGACAGAGTGACTGAGGTGTTGTACATGCCTTCTGCTTAGTCAAGTTCTCCCTCCAGAATGATGCAAGCAGACGTACAAAATGCCCAGTTTATGATAGTGTTTTTCTTTCTTTCTGTTGTGTAGCTCTCAGAATCCTCAGAATCCTCCTGTTCCTCCATGCATTCCACGGACACATCTTCCTCAGGGATGTCATCTTTAGCCTCATCCCCTTCCTTGCTGTTCTCCGACAGGGGCTCTTTCGTTGTCCCCGATGGCTCTGTCCCCGTCCCTGATGGCTCTGGCCCTGTCCCCGTCCCCGAGGGCTCTGTCCCCATCCCCGACGGCTCTGTCCCCATCCTTGAGGGCTCTCTCCCTGACAAAGACTTCATCTCCGGCTCCATCCCGAAGGGCTCCATCGCCATCGTTTCTGAGGGCTCCATCTCCATGACGCCCGTTACCTCAAAAGGATTGCCTCCTGTTTATAACCAGCAGAAGGAAGATAAGTGCATTATCCGCATCAGCGTCGAAGATGACAATGGCAATATGTACAAGAGCATCCTGGTGAGTGGCGTGGAACAGCAAAATGCTATTATCATTGGTAATATTTTCATCCGGAGTGGCTTAAGCAAAAATGGTGCTTTCAGTTTTGAGAGAACCTATTTGCTGAGCCAACTAATCAAACCTGGCTTGAAAGGGAAAACAACAAACACTACAATTCAAAATGTGTGGAGCATGGTATGAATGAGAGGTTTGACACCTCTTTGTGGGTTTCTCAGCTTGAAATGAAAGCTTGTATTTGAACTATTTGATAAAAGTGAAGCATTCTGATAAAGTGCCAGCTTTGGTGCTCCTGCCCATATGCTAGCACCAGGTGCTTTTTATCTAGCTGGGAATTTGTGTGCAATTTTTGATGTGCCAAGATGCCACGTGCCAAGCTTTTCCCGGAGAAGCTTTCCCCAGGAGTTGGTTTCGGGAAGCAGGCAGCTGTATGCAAGGCAGCTGACAGCCCTTTAATTACACAGCTGCTCTCTGTGGCAGAGGTTGCCAGACCAGCAGGAACCAGCGTTCAGGTGTTTCCCTCGATGCAGTTTCCACAGAGCGCTGCTGGAGGGACCGGGGCTGACGTCACTCACCTGCACACTGTCTCTGCAGATACCCGATGGAGACTCGGCTGCTGAGGAAACACTCCAGGTCCTTCAGGGCCTGGGGGGAACAAACACACAGGGGGTAGTTCTCACCCCGCTTAGCTACCTGGTGATTTTAATGGTCTGACCTTCCTTAATGGCAAAGACCCATTCCCCAGTGCCACATTTGGCTGCTGGCAAGACAGATCTTATTTCTGACTGCACAAAGCTCTGGAGGGAGCCCTGCTCCGGATGCACGGCACTTCCACAGCAGACAGCAATCCCAGTTATGAGGCCAGAAATCTTTGCAGGATGTCAAAGAAAGTATTTAGCACAGGAGGCTGCAGATTAATTGTGGTCTGTAAACAAGATGGGGCAGTTACTGATGTGGACTTCTATGGCTAGTGAGAACAGCGCCTCACTTCTCAAGGTGGTTGCTCAGGACAGCAAACACTGTGGTTTGCTGCCATCTTTTCTAGTACAGGATCTGTCACCTTGAACTAAAAATCACCACCACCAAATGTCACAAATACTGTGTCTTGGTACCTAGCACTACCTGCTACTTTGCTACTGCTGATTATATTTTTTTCAGTTGTGTGAAATCTTCTCCAAGACCAAGGGGTCTGCTGAGAAAGGCAGGCGTTTGCTCATTACTAAATCATTACATAGAGTAAATATACAGATTTTTTCATTGAAACTCTTACCTTTCCAGCTAACTAGCCAAGACAAAGCTCCCGCTGTCATCCATAGAGCGATGCTGAAGCATAACCTTGAGCTGGACGCAGCTGGAGATTATGAGCTTGTACAGGTCATCTCTGAGGACAAAGGTAAGGAAGCAGAACTCTGCTGCTGCTGGATTTTGATGCAAAGAGTAAAATGTGAAGCCTTGTTAGCAATGCCATTGATGCATTGTCACAGCTGCCAGTGAGAATAACTTGGTAACTGGTGCACGGGGGTGATTTATTGCAGCCCGTCAGCCCATGGCTCCGTGCAGGCAGTGCGTGCTCGTGGTCACCCAGCAGACCTTGGTACGTGCCCTGCAGCTGTGCCCCCCCCCCAGGGGTGCGGGCAGGCCCGGATCCGACCGTTGTCCTCAGCCTCTGCAGGACGACATGGTCTGGGCTTGGCATCCATCTCCTCCCCTCTGCAGCCCTGCTCCTGTTTTTTTGGCAGGACAGCAACTGTGGGTGCCGGCCAATGCAGCTTTGGCTGGAGGTGCCACCGGGCGAGGATGAGGCTGGCCCTGCCTGGCCACGCTCACTCAGTCTGTTCCCCTGGGCCCCCTTCTCTCCTGACTTTTCCTCCGCAACACACAACACGGCAAATCAACGCTTGCGCTGCTCCCTCTTTTGCAGAGCTGGTGATCCCAAGAAACGCCAACGTGTTCTACGCCATGAACAGCCACGTGAACTTCGATTTCATCCTGCGGAAAAAAGCCTCAGTCAGTGAGCAGGTGAAGATGAGGGACCGGTGCAGCCTGACCCTCTCCAGAACCGCCAAACGTGGGTGCTGGAGCAACCGGCCCAGCAAAGTTGCACTGTGAGGTTGAGAACCGCACCTTTGCTACCACCCAGTATTACAGAACCGCAGCGGATGAATGTGTCAGTATTTGAGGCTGAAATGCCAAGTGAACATCTGGGAGACCTACAGCCAGAGCCTTTTCTCCCTTGCAACTGATTGTGGACATACGGACGTGGATTTATGTGACAGTACGGACTGGACATTTTTCTCTCTTTTTGTTTTGCACATCAGCCTAGGAAGGTGAGAGCCCCAGTGAAAGGGGAAAAGAAGACTGCAACATTTGTCTTAAGAACACCACACAAGCCAACTCTTTTTGTGAGAAAATGTTTTCCTTTGTGCCAGTATTACACAGAAGAATGTCTAAATTTATTTTTATAAAACTGGACAAGTCTCAATACAATTCTGCCTGAACCAAGACGGAGGTGCCAGTGTGTTGGTTTAGAAGACAGGGGAAAGCCTCCCTT